ACACTACCTGTGCAGTTTCATTATTCTCTATATTTCGATATTTCGTCTCCCGCTTCTGCATGCTTTCCTGTAGTGATCGATGGATATTGCCGTGGTTTCTTCGTTCGTCCAAGAAATTCATGACATTCGCCAGAAACTTATTATGTCCACATTAATAAATATTTAGGCTTGTCCTTCCAGTTGATTAAATCTTCCCAATCGCGACTTTCAGAATCATTCAAAGAGGCAAACTCCTGCAGCTCAATGCCATCCAACCAAGTTGGAATGTCATTTGTAGCCATTCCTCTGCTTGGAGAGCTGCTGAGTTTTCATATCGAGAATCGCGTTTTTCTGGCCTTCTCATCGGCTTCAATCTACCCATTTTGCGCGTTTAATCCAAGATTGGCTGTGACAGTATGGACGACAAGGAAGATTTGCTTATCCTTCCAGCAATTCGTCTGGACGTTCTTTTTTGACAGGTGATGGCCACGAAACAGATGCAACGTCAAACTGTCTTTTATCTAAAGGCCTTCATAAACACAATTCCTAACAGAACCAAATACATCCTTAGACCGATGTCCCTCTGAATTGAGATTCTGCATTTTTGAGGACAGTATCTATTAAATGCCATTTGCTCCCAAGGCCATCTCAGATCAGAAGGCTTCTGAACCAAAGGGACAAAATTATACTTCAAACCGAATGTATCAAGGTATCTGCAGATCGAAGGTGTTTATCGTGTAACGTCGCTCCTTACCAATTATTAGGCGAATCTGAATTTCTGCTGTAGCTTTTCCCTACTAAAGCTTTTCTTCAATCGAAAGGCTAAATCCAACAAATGCAATAGACAGTATGCTTATACATTTGACAAATCTGTCTCCAGTATAGTTCAGTAGTTTGTAATATTTTTTATGGTGCTTATGAGCAACGTTATAGTCTTCTTTCTCACTGAATGCCTTTTGCCTGTCATATTCAGATACGAATGTTGGAACCCGGATTTGAGCAGATGATCATGTGGTTGCCTGTTGGCTTTAGCGCCTGACATATTATTACTACATAAACAAAAGACTATTCATTACGACTTTTTCGTGTTTCAAAGTCTCATCTGTCCAAAATACACCCTTTACCTGAAAATATACCGGTAACAAAGTTTCCCCAACGAGCGTGTTTATACGTTTTCAGACGTAAGACTTCAATGTTGGCGAACGGCAATAAGAACCGTTTGGGTACAAGGCTTTTGGATGCAAGCTGGATCAATGCATGTGCAAGACCAAAAGCCTTCCTTTATCAAGCTACATTCCAGATAAAATCGCATTCATATACATAGATAACATTTGCTTAACCCATATCTTCTCCATTAGGACTATATCACGAAAATTCTCTTTCGACAGGTTTCAGAAGGCGCTGCGACCTAGCGTTCACCAGCTTTCCGTTGATAACGACTTTCGAACCAAGGCCAAACAAACTTTAACATCAGTGGCGCATTTGAAAAATCCCCAATTAAAGTTCTTTCTTGTCCCTTGTGTCGTCACCACAAAGTTCTTCCAGCGCAGGATCTCTAAACAATAGAGGATATACTACCCTAAAGTCGTTACACCGGGACGCATTATTGTTGTGAACAAAATCCAAATCAATGTCGTGCTTACCCAGGAAAGCGTGCCCAAATATGAATAGCACATTAAGAGGAAAGATTGTCTAGATTAAACGCCGCAATAATTGCATTTTTCATGCAACCCAAGGTTTCCTCTACAAACTAATGCCTCGCACGCTCTAAACACGTGTCTTGATCTAACGTAACTTCCTCAAGTTTTTCAATGAACTACGGCGTATTCGGGAAATAATGTTTCTATTACGAAACCTCTACCAGAACGATAAACCTCCAAGCACGACCTATTTTCATGATATGACACATGATAAGCTTGGGCCCACAAAGCACCAGGGTTAAGTACCAATCAACTTCTCATTTTGCAAATATGAATTTTTTCTATGTCCTACGTCCTCCAGTTGCCAAGTCCTCCGTTTGGAAATTGCTTCTTCGAGCTAAATCTGAGCGCAGAGTAGCGCAGTTCAATGCTTCATGATTGCTCCATCACAACCTTCGTGATCAATGATTACAAGTTCTCCGTTTCACATGTTTGCAATCTAATCCTTAGCAATGTTCTTTTCTGGGGCTGCCGAAGTAGTTTCTTCTTGGGTGCAATGCCTGTAATTCGCAGAAATTGCTCGGAACAATGTCTTTTTAAAGCCATTCATTTTTAAAACGAATCCTGCAATAAAAGTTTCAGCTGAACCTTGGATTGACCATGATCTGAGCTGTTCCTAAGTTAGCGCCGTTCGCCTATGAGGAAATATTTCGTACTGACTTTCCCATAAATTTAAATTGCCTCATCGTGTTGCCTAAAGCGTAGGAATGTGAAAATATAATTTTTGATTCTCTCCAATCAAATTTTCTAACATAAATATGGAACAACTGGTTAAAACAGGACTTGTAGATCAATTGTTAGTACGGTATGATGTGAATATGTTGAATCTGCCATTGTGTTATAGAATTGTGCCTATCAAAATACTCTGGGTGTCGAAAAAAATGGTTGCTGGACATCAGTCTTACTCAAAAAACTTTTAAGTACATGCAAGAATCTGAAAACTGCCAGTGTCCTCGACGACACGGCCGTAGGAGGTCATGCAATGTTGGTAAGAATTACGATAGGAACGACTGTGATGCATCGATTCTTGTCTGATTTAGCGAAACGCGGTTTGCAAATAGAAGAAGATAGTTCGTTGGCGACAGCTGCAACAACTGCTTTCTGCATCGTGGCTCCCACTCCTCCGGCTCAATGTCGCTATGCCCTGCGACGACGGCCCTGTCCATCATCGTCCAATGAAACTTTCCCTTGCGTGGGCGTGACCGCAGCATCCAGTGGCAGCTATCCGAGCGACGATGCTCGATGTTGTGAAGTAAAATCAGATGGTGGTCCTTCGAAGAGGTCTAGGCTAGGAGTTTCCTGCGCCGTTTCAACGCTGAGGAGCAGGCAAGGGTCGGCGGAACCTGATTCCTTACGTCTTTCCATATTGGACTTGCTTCCTGACGAAATCCTGTTTCGCATCTTTTCATATCTGCTCGAAGGTGACCTGTGTCGCGTAATGAGCGTCAGCCGCACATTTTATCGCATAGCCAACGATACCCTCATCTGGTGAGCTGCGTTTTCTGCATTGTCAAGTGTGTATTATTATGCAATGCTTATGTGAAACTCAATTGCAGCTCCGTAGTAAACGTTTTATCTCGGCAATAAAACGACACGTGTACAGACGCTTTTTATCAGCATCATTCTAAGTTCAAATCGTCCGTATTGTGTTCATTTCTCTATAACGTTCAAAACGTTTCAACAATCAGATGATATTTTCCTCTCCGTTCGTTGGTTCAATTATATGTTAAACGCTTATGGTTTTTTCCTCGTCACATGTGAATCAGTCCATTAGCAACGAGGACTGAAACCGTTTCTTCCTGATCTCGTCCTTTATCCAACGGCTCTTTAATGCAGGATCTGAAGATCGACGGGAAAAGTTTGTTCGCGTGCGTCAAACGTCCGCAATGCAACATTTGATTGTTTTGTACTCTGAGACGCCTGTTCAGATTTGTCCTCCCCTTCTCGGCAGAAGCTGGGAGATTACTTTTCTTGCTCAGGAGCCTGCTACTCCAACAGGCTACTTACTGCAGACAACCTGGACAAACACCGATCGTCACCTTGAAGAGAGCCCGAATAACGCAGGCCGAAATGTCTGTGTTGGTCTATCATCAGTGTTACGGACGATCATGAGTCATCGCCGTGATTCATTCGTGCATTGATGCGACCGACTACTTTATTTGCATGTTGTGGTCTAGTCGACTACACATCGCCACGTAATCAGGTCAATTATGCGCTTTAGGCATTAGCATATGTGAGAGCGCCGTGTGCTACGCGCCGATCGTCGAGTATATAAACCCATCGTTTTGTTATATTTGTGTGTTATGTTTTATCGTCTGGCCTTGTGATAGTTTGCTTTACTCGGCTCGGCCACCACAATAAACCTATATCCAGACCTGGTACTGCGAAGAAACAACATATTTGGCGACGAGGATAATTCGAATTCACGATGTCCATCTCCAAAGAAGACCTTCAGACCATCCTCAGCGCAGTACTGGGTCAACTGCACCTAGCTGTTCAGAATAAGAAGCCCATACTGGAGCCGAGTTTTGAGTCATTGTCCTCCAGTATCACGGAGTTCACCTATGACCCGGAAAGTGGTGAAACGTTCCCGGCATGGTATGTCCGCTTTGAAGACGTGTTTCGAGTCGATGGCAAAATGCTGGATGATGCAGCCCGGATGCGATTATTGCTCCGAAAGGTGGCGACTCCCATTCACAAACAATACGTCGATTTCATCCTACCACACCACCCCCATGATGTTTCGTTTAAAGAAACGGTCCAAATTCTATCATCGATGTTTGGCCCCCAAACCTCCCTCTTCAACGTGCATTACAAATGCCTGAAGATGAAGGAAGAGGACCGTGAAGATTTCATCGCTATGACTATGACGGAAGAGTAAACCAGGACTGGCAACGGTTTCAACTGGCTTCGCTGAAGAAGGCCATTTCAAATGCCTCATGTTCGTTTGCGGCTTACAGTCCCCAGAGGACGCCAATATCCGTTTGCAGCTACTCAACAAAATTGAGAAGGAGGACGATGTCACCATTCCCAAATTGGTAGCCGAATGCAACCGCT